CTAGGCAAAAGAAAAATTTGCGGCCCCCTCCCATATGATCTGCCATATGAACTAACGCCAGTGCTGCACACAGTGTGTGTTTACATTAAAAAGCCTGCAGGGACAGGCTATAGACACCGGAACCACTTCATTAAGCTGCAGTGGTTTTGGGGACTATAGTGTCCCTTTAATGTGAGGTAAATTAGAGAGTATTGTCACTAATAATATACTACATTGCCTACTTACAACCAGATGGATGGTGATGGGCTCTGGCTGCAGTTTGGCTCCACTGGTCTGGTGTAGAACAGGCTCTCTGGCGGCTGTTTGGAATTGTGGTCATAAAATTCAATGTTCTGGGAGAACGGGAAGCAGCTCCATTTTTTTGGGCCCCTTACACAGCTCAAGGTCTAGGCCCCAGGGTCTGATGGTGCATATGCCTAGAAGGCCCACCCACAGTGGCGTACACATGACCCATGGGGCCCCGGTGCGAAAATTGATCCGTGGGGCCCCCCCCGCGCGCGGGCCGGACCGCAACACATGGCGGTGGGCACCTGGTCGCAGGGGTTACAGGGCTGCGACCCTTGCGACTGCGGTATGTATGCCAGTGCATGCAGATGCGCGCACACACACTTAAAGGACCACTACAGACACCCAGATCATATCAGCTCAATAAAGTTGTCTGGGTGTCAGGTCCCTCTATTTTTAACCCTGCAGCTGAAAACATAGCAGTTTCAGAGAAACTGCTATGTTTCACTGAGGGTTAAGCCAGCCTCTAGTGGCTGTCTCACTGGCAGCCGCTAGAGGAGCACACTGAACGTCCATAGGAAAGCATTGAGTAATGCTTTCCTATGGGCGGTTTGAATGCGTGCGCGGTCGCATTCGGAGCTGAGAGGCTGAGGGATCCCCAGCGCCAAGGGAGTCCGGTGCTGGAGAAAGGTAAGTGCTTAAGACACACACACACTCTCTCTTACAGACGCATACACACTAGCTAACAGACACACATTTACTGACAGAGACACACTCAGCGACAGACAGACATACATACATACTCACTTACAAAACAAACATACACTCTCATTGACAAACACACACTCACTAACACACACACACACACACACACTCAGTAAGACACACACAGTAACACACTCACTGACACTCACTAGCAGACACACACTAACACTCACACTCTTAACACTCACACTAACACTCACACACACTCTAACATTCAAACTCACTCACACACACTCACACTAACACATGTTTTTGTTTTTAATGTAATCCTCCCAGCCTCCTTACCTTTTGGAGTGCTGGGGGGATTCCCTGGGGTCCAGTGGTGCTGCTGGGCTCCTGGGCAGGTGGCCGGTCGGGCAGGCGGGCACGCGAGGGAACACTCAGTGCTTCCTCTGCAGCTCCCTCGCGCGCCGCAAGATGACGTCATCTTCTGGCTCCGGTATCAGTGCGGTGCGCGAGGGAGCTGAAGAGGAAGCACTGAGTGCTCCTTCGCGCGCCC